TGCAATGTTTTGTCTGAAGCAACATAAACTTTGTTAAGATTAGTTCCTACACACATTTGAGCTACTGGAAAGCTTGTATACTTTCTGAGTACTACCACATTTGCGCTAGTCACCTCTTTTCATCTGAAGTTTTTTCTCAATTGAAAAGCTTATAGTCAGTTGTTACTACAAATAATATGGCCATAATAATTTTTACAACTGAAAATCTTTTCTCTCCATATTTATCAAACATCATATTAGCTTCAAATTCCTAATGTCTTCTTTGACAACTGTGCTTTAATTTTTCGTAACTATACGAAACGTTTATCGTGGAAGTTAGTGGGCATCTTCAATGCACATTCAAATGCACCGGAATAAATGACGTGTTAGAAAAATCATTGAGAGATATTGGACCATTATTCCGATCGAAACAAAGCATGTTTAAATGTATTTAAAGTTAGGTGTTTATTTTGTCACGTGTTGTCAAAGTGGTTGTCATGTCATGGTCAGTTTATCGTACGTTGTGCGGAAAAAAATCACATCAGTGACGGCTCATCATTCATTGAGATAAACGTTAGATTATCTTCGCATTCGACAGAAATGTGTCACGAATAATAGTAGTAGTTTCATTCAGTATTCTATTTCGATTGCAGCTGCATCACAATGTAGGTGAAATGTGACATCTGTGCAGTCTAGTTATAGAATATTTGAAAGGTCGGTAGAAAATACTGAACTGAATGAGATTTCACGGTTGTGAATGATCGAATGCTAAACAAGCCTGCTTTATGGATCGGATGATTGATATTGATTTTTGATAATATAACAGTGATGAAGATTAACAACTTGTAAATATGGAAGTAGGATTCGATTCCGTTTCAGATAAGAATGCGAAGAAAATTGAGAGTTGTGAATGTCAATGTGGCACGGGTTCATCCAGTATATGCGGTTGAAGTGAATGAGGATTGTTGGTACATTTATATGTTTAGTTATTATCCAATAAACATTGTGAGCTTTTGTAGTATTAATCAGATGAAGTTGAAATTACAGCCGTTCTTCACAGTATCAATGATTTTCAATGGCACTCTGCTCAATCGAGTCTGTCATACGACAGTTGAAGTAGACGCAGGACGCTATTATATTTCATGTACCAAACTAATTGAAAGCAAATGAATTGCATGCAGTGCGCGTTTATTTGGTTATTTAGGAAATGGAAATCAGGTCCAGGACTACAATTTTTGATCAGTCGTGCAGATTTCACGAATCATTCACATATATTAACCTAGTGAACTGATGTGTCATATGTACAGTAATATATCTGAATCGATTATATGAATTAGACCCCGAAATGTTGTCAAACAGTTTGTTATAATATTGCTTCGTAGGTTACCTCAGTTGAACGTTCGGGGACATTTCGCAGCAATCACAATTCTCATAGGTTCAACTCATACAAAAACTACTAAATAGCGACTCACAACTTAAAATGATTTAGTCTAACAGTTTGAGAGACAACGTCGACCATACATATTATGGTGTGTATACTTCAAAGAAAGCGTCTATAGTCCCACTTAACTACATGTACAGCATGTATTCAGGATTTGTTTGTTATCTGTTATCTCTATCGGTCACTTAGCGCCTAAACAGTACTGAATAAGCATTCAACTATCTAAACATAGATGTAGCGTTATATTTGATATTTTTGTTAGAAGGTTGACCGTCATTTGGATTCCAACGATGTGATTGAGCACATTCAATATTTGAAAAAATCATTTTACGAAACCCATGAATAGAGAAATTGTTCAATCTTCTCAATAAACCACAGTATTTCAAACAAAATAAACCAATCATAAGTGAATTATGTTACCTACTATTAACGGTTTCGGATGGAGCATTCAACTCCTTGGTTTGTGAACTTCCAGATTTTAACTTTACAAGATCATGTTGAAGTTGTGTCTGTGTAGACGTTTCGGTATACTTGGGTATAGTATCTGTCATATCTACGAGTGTCACCATTGCAATACTTATTGAAGATTCATCTGACATAGGGTTTGCAGTTTTTGATCTTTTGGGTGGTTGCGAAGTTGGAGACATTTGTCTTTTACTCGAATTATTTGTCATATTGGAAAATTTGTTGGGATAATTGCTTGTCTAATTAACTCAAATATCTATGGGTATAACTTTTTGTGTATTAACTGTGTTGTTAATAAAAATCAATAGCGGATTTTAAAGAAAAGAGGTTCAGTTATGAAGTGTCAGAGTCACTGTAAGTCAATAAGTAGGCTTAAACTAGTGTATTCAGAAGTTAAAAAAGTTTTCAAACGACAAGTATGTATTAACTGATTAAAAACTTAGAAGGTTTGCTTTCTTGAAGCAAAGTGCACCAGGTACAATAGATAAATTCTACTAAATCAGTATAATAGCCTACGAATGAAAAATTTGCGAAAAACACCATTCCACGTGAAAAACGTTACCAATTTCAGAGTTCGCGCGCTTGTTTTATAAGTAGCTGTTGGGAATTCCGTCTAGAATAACTACTGTATTGTCTACGTCACAATGAATTGTTATGCGATGCTCTGGTGCTATATGTATATATAAATATATATATATATAATGGCCACGATCCGCTCTCTCCTTCTGTCCTTTTTGTCTCATCTGTAAGCTGCGTTTTCCTCTCTACATAACGCACATAACATGCCTGTTCGTTTAAGTCACAGACGCGTTGCGCTCGACGCGTTTCATCCTGATCAACTATTGAATAAAGCAAACCACTCATGACTTTTACTGTAAACTCGTTCAATATGAGGTTATGTTTTGAAAATGTGCCTTCATCAAACTGCTCTTCTCGATGACGTAGTGCATATGTGCTTTCGAACACTGACTGATATTTTCAGTATAAGTGCACAAACAATGACAGTCAATGTGTAAGAGTTTGTGACGAATCGCTCTAGCCTGTTAACTGGCATGCTTCTAGTACACCGATTTTGTTCTATGGAGAGTATATTTTAAATTATCTCTTGTCAAATTTCTGTATCGTTTAGCGTAGATCGATAATAGATATATTTGTGTATCTGCTTTTATTACATGACAGAATCTATAACATGATGATAACATAAATTATAACGTCATTCACACATCAATGTTTGTAGGAGTTATCAGTTAAGAAAATACTAATGAAAATAAATCGATTAGTAAGAAAGCTAACAATTGTATATTTATCAAACAACGTGAATGTTGATCTGACCCGTATGAGATTGATGTATGGTCACATGAACTTGCGTTAAGTATTATGGCAGTGAAACGTATGTTTTAAACTTCAATGCAAACGAGCTCAATAGAATCGGCTAATATGGCTTTGTTAGTAATAGATGACAACATGACATGACAAAATATAATGGAATCGTCGATTTCTCTGATTTAAATAACGAATATACGCTGTAAAGCTCTCTAAGTCAGTTGATTATTCATGCGGTCATTTTTCAAGCAGTGGGATATGTCAGCAATGCACATTCATATTCTCATACTTAACATGATATTTCTTATGCTAAGTAGAAGATTTACACGTGAGAGAATGATAATCGTGGATAACAACAGAGTTATAGTCAAAGGCAACTATCGTACATCAGGTCAAATTACTAGTTGGCATTAAGAAGTTGTATGATGTGCATGACATTTCAGTTTTCTGCTATTCCATGAGAATCGGTACAATAGCAAATAGTTTGTAGTGGTAAATGATCTAATTTGCAGGATTTTTGAGCTGATTTTAGTTACGTCGGTTCAATCATTTCTGCTACCTTTTACTTATATTACACTAAACATAATTATTGCGAATCACGAAGTGAATGCTTATTTGACGTGTAACAAGATGTAACTGAAGTAACCTACTGAAATTTTCAATTTACATTCACAGATGACAGTCATTCTTCGATTTATTATTACCAAAATATATTCAGAGTACTTCGTGAATACTTATCGTTCTCAATATCATACAATTTTCATTTTACAGATTTTCTCACGTTAATACACATGTTTGTTATATGTTGTTCCAAATAGCCGAACCAAGTGATGATGAAAGAAACGTTGATGCATATCACGTTTACTAGAAAAATGACTACGACATCTACACACAGAACAAATGGTCATTTGGCATTTCATCCAATGGATTTACTTGAAATGAATTTTCTGTAATCGTGGAATATTTAAAGTTTTTGATCAGCAGGAAATGGACATAACATTCACGAAGGTTCGTGAAGAAATTATGCCGGTAAGCAGTTTACTATGAAGGCAATCGTTTGTCAAAAATATTTGTGATCTTATAGTAATGAATTATGTTGGTCGGTATTCCTGAATCATTTCACTCTCACTTCGAACGCCTGTGGTTTTGTGGTCATTAGGAAGTGATCACAAATATCTTCAACTCTTTATTGATGTATACACCGCTCGTCTTTATGTAATAGCGGTTATCAAGACGTACAGTGTAGGAATTTAATGAGAATATAAAATATCAATCATCACAGGATCGGTGAGCCAGAAAGCGAACGTAACACAGATTGCACAAATTGGTGAACCTGATAACGAAGGAGTCGGTATACCTCGATTTGAGTTACTTCGGTCTTACGTGAAATGGCTAGCCCGATAATGAATAAAATCGCAGTTCACTGCCTAAGAATACTCATCTTCAGAACTACAGCGAAGTTGCACAGAATCTATTTCTATCTGATGCACTCTCACCTTCTTATTATTTTTCTTCACACATAAATATTATTTTCTACTAACGATTCCTGATTTTGTACATTAGGTTGCTCCACCTGCGGAATATTTTCCACCAGATGTTGGTTTGACGAGTTACTACCAAACACTTTGTTTAAGTAGGATTCCCGTTGCATAACGTTAGATTCACCAGAATAACGCACCCGAAGTCAATGAATTAAAAGCTCTTTGAGTATTCGGAATATTTATTTGGAACAGTTAAATAAATATCGTATGTGGTTCTGCAACAAACAATTATTAATTTACTAGTTACTTACATTCAAGGTGATTAAGCAACAACAACAACAAATTATCACAACGATCCGTGTCCCACACACCAAGCGAATAGAATGCCAAACAAAATGGCTGACCAAACAGTCAATGTTTCGACCAATAGAAAACAACTTCTAGATTGTTCGATCATACTAACCAATAAAATGCAAGTTACAAATTATGTAGTAAACACTCAACTACTCATGAGTAGTACAACCATTACAACTAAATCCAACACTGCCCCCTGAGGTTGAAGAATCCTGGGATGTTTCTAATTGTTCAGGGTTCTGTGATTCTTCAACTTCACCTTCTAACTTGCATAACTGCCGTACATCTCTTCTCACTGTCCCGTTAGCTGTTCTTAACGTTACCTTCCGAACTAAGCCGTCGGTACCTTCCTGTATATCTGTGACGACCGCCTTCGGCCATTGCCCTCTCGATCGTGCAGACTCTATCATCAACACTAAGTCCCCAACCTTCAAATTAGGCTTAGGATCGTGCCATCGTTGCGTTAACTGTAGCGTTGGGATATATAGCTTCAACCACCTTTTCCAAAAAAGATCGACCAAGTACAATGTTTGTCGCCATCTTCTATTGTAATTTGTTGTATAGTCCTTTTCATCGATGCTAGCTGGTTCGCTTGCTCTAGGCAATAGTAACATGCTAGGTGAAAGCGCTTGTATGCCATCGACATCTTCTACCATCTTCACTATAGGCCGGTTGTTTAAAATCCTCTCTATCTCCACTAGAGTCGTATGTAATACCTCATCGGTGACCGGTTGTTCGTCGAGAACAACTACTAATATTCTTTTAATAGTTTTGATGATTCGCTCCCATATTCCTCCTCGATGATAAGCCTTTGGAGGGTTAAATATCCAGTCACAATTGTGGGCGGCAAGGTTTTTCGATATTTTTTCTTGGTTCCAAGCTCTCATTAAACACTTTATTGCCCTTTCTGCACCTTTAAAGTTGCTGCCGTTGTCACTATACAGGCGTTGTGGGTAGCCCCTACGTGCCGCAAATCGGCTAAAGACACAAAGGAAAGAATCGGTATCTAGGGTATTGGATATTTCTAAATGAACCGCTCTTGAGCTGAAGCAAGTGAACAAGCAGCCGTATCTCTTTTCCACGGTCCGTCCACGTTTCACAAATAGTGGTCCAAAATAATCGACACCTGTCACAGTAAATGGATTACAGTGGTACATAAAACGATCTTCTGGTAGGGGTGCCATAGCCTGTTGGCAAGGTTGAGAGAACCACTTACGACACTTATAGCAATTATTGAGAACCGACTTGATGGTTTTCACTGCTTTAATGATCCAATATCTTTCACTGATTGTTGAAATCAGAAAGTTTACTCCCATATGTCCATTCGCTTCATGATAATGTCTAATAATTAAACGGGTAATAAAATGATTATGCGGTAGTATAATCGGATGCCTTACTTCAAAGGGTAGACCTGATTGCTGTAAGCGCCCACCAACTCTTATTACTCCATTAACCGTAATTGGTTTCAAGTGACGTAGTGGACTGGAAGACTTGCATAATGCTACTTTAATTGTTCGGTCGACCTCCTTCTCACTCGTCACCACCGGGACGTGATTCAACAGCTTAAATACATCATTGAAACATTCCTTCTGCGCCAATCGGATAATGTTGAGCTCAGCCGCTCTTAACTCTGCGACTGTGAGGTTTTGTTGGTTAGTTAATTTGTTCATCAAGAGATGTTTATAACGTAGAAGCCAAGCTATCATTCGTTGTAATTTCATCCATGAATTCACAGCTTCGAATCGACTCAGAAACGTAGGTTGATTCTCGTTTGGATATAAATCTTTATTTGACAACATATAGTTTATATAGGAGCATGCATTAGTGTTCTGGTGTGGTTCCTGCTGAACATATCCCTGCAATAAAAATGTTGGACCACTAAGCCATCGTTTTAATTTTCGTTCTTGGTTTACTATGAACCCTCGGGAAAGCAGATCCGCTGGGTTGAGCTTAGAACTAACGTAACGCCAGTCTGATGGCCTCGTCTGTTCCTGTATATAGACCAACCTGTTAGCAAAAAACGTAGGGAATCTCTTGGAAGCATTGTTTATGCTATGGAGTACGACGAGAGAGTCAGTCCAATAAACTGTTTTGAGTATGGTAACAGTCATCTCTGTTCGGATAAACTTGGAGATTTTCACAGACAAAACTGCTGCCGCCAATTCTAAACGTGGTATACTCGTAGCCCTAATAGGTGCTACTTTAGCTTTAGCGAATATCAGACGACATTCTTTAACACTTTGCTGTTTCAGTAGTAGCAAATACCCTGCTGCTCCGTATCCATTATTAGAGGCATCACTGAACATATGTAGTTCGATTCCAGTACATTCGGCTGCATTTAATGACCGAGGCAAAACTATCTTTTCTATATGAGTAAGACTTCCTTGCCATTTTCTCCAAACCTTTAGTTCTTCTCCTACTATTAAATCATCCCAAGAAAATTTCATTTTGCATAGTTTCTGAAGGATAAGTTTCGCTGGGAGAATAACAGGTGCTAGGTAACCCATGGGATCGAATATGGAGGCGACAAATGACAATACATTACGACGTGTAACAGGTTCATTTACCCTCCCGACATAAAAACGAAAGGTATCATCGCTTATATTCCAACTTATGCCCAAAGCTCGACAAGTGGTATGATCGCCGTGCCCGATGTGTACACATGGCCCGATACAATTAAACTCAGGTAGCAGTTGAGCTAATGTTGAATCATTAGTAATCCACTTAGTCAAGTTGAATCCACCTTTTGATAACATATCTTTCAACTGAGTTGCTACTCGATAACTTGTTTCAGTATTGGGAGTACTAATTAAACAATCGTCTACGTAGAAACTACGTGTAGCCATGTCGTAAACTTCTTTGTCATAGTTTTCCTTGTTATCTTTGATGGTACGATTAAGAGCAAACGTAGCGCAACTAGGAGAAGAGGTTGCTCCAAATAGGTGGACTGTCATGCGAAGTTCTTCAGGGCTGTCAGTAAAATCTCCGTTCGTCCACCATAAAAAACGCAGAGCGTCTCTATCGCATTCGGGTACTTTAACCTGGTGGAACATTGCTTCGATGTCAGCCATTACTGCTACCCTTTCTTGTCTAAATCTAAGAATTACACCCAATAACGAATTAGTAAGATCCGGACCAGAGAGTAACCTGTCGTTTAATGATCGTCCTTCATGTTTAGCAGCGCAATCGAATACTATTCTAATTTTCTCTGGTTTCGCTGGATGGACGACAGGGTGATGCGGTAAGTACCATACGTTAGAGTTATCATTTAACGGTGGCGCAATTTCTGCATATCCCTTTATAAGGTAATCTTTCATTGCATCCGCATAGCGTCTAGCTAAATCTTTAGAGGTACACAGTCGTTTGCGTAAAGCGTTCAGACGATGCAAACAATACGACTTATTATCCGTCCATTCTAACTGTGAATCTTTCCACGGGAGTGATATACAATAATGACAATCCTTTAACGTGATAGACTTCTCCATGATTCTGAGTGCGGTTCTATCTTCAATCGATAAATCTTTATCTTTAGACTGACTTTCCTCTAACAGGTCTTGCTGGTAGAATCTTTCAAGAGTACTTTCAATTTCTGAGAGACTGAGATGATTTGGCTTTATGTGTCTTGTGACATGAGTACCAAGGGGTCCTATCAGTGTCCAACCAAATATGGTCTTTATCGCGTACGGTTCCTCCGGTCTTCCTAACCTTTGTTCTAAGTTTCTATGTGCTTCAGGAACATTGCAGCCAACCAGTAGTCCTATTCGCTTACTTTCACATCTCCTCAGGTCTATTCCCTGCAGATGTTGCCACAATCGAAGCTGCTTCTCCTCTGGTACCACTCGCTTAATCTTAGGCAAACTGGGAACAACATATGCTCTTTCTATCCGAATTGACTCATCAGATTCGTATGAGCTAGCTTCTAGTTGTACCGCATTTGTCCGCATCTCTCTGTAACCATTCATAGTCTCTATCCGAACACGGGCATATTCCATAGGTAATTTTAAATCGTCGACAATATCCTTAAGTACCAATGTCGAGTCAGAGCCGCTATCCAAGAATGCTAAAGTTTCTACCGTACGGTCACGATTGCGGAGAATTACTGGGACCACTGCAAATGCCACCTTAGGTTCTTCATTTTCCGCTCGGGAATTTGAAACGTAATTAGTAGCAACATTCGCATTAGATGGTGAGACGTCCGTCGTAACATGCAACAATGTATGGTGCCTACCACCACAACCCTCCACGGTACATCCTCTGCGCAATCTACAATCCTTAGCTATATGATTAGCCTTTAAACATAATCGGCATAACCTTTTCTCCTTGATTAGATCTAACCTTTTATCTACTTCAAGGGATAGCAACGTTGGACACTGGTCTAGAAAGTGGTTGTCTTTACATAAGATACACACTAAATACCTTTCTTGACGTTGACTTGAAGGCGAGTGCTTCAATGTAAACACGTTCCTTTTTGTACTCGGTGGTTGAGAAGAAACAACGTTCCGGACTCGTTTATCTGACTTTAAATTTGCTGCGAGTTCTCCATATCTCGTACACATTATGTTGACACGTTCCTCGATAAACCTAGCTAAGTCCTCAAAGGTAGGCTCTGTATCTTGTTTCATATAATCTACCGCTGTTTCCGCCCATTTAAACCGGAGATTCGAAGGCAACCTTGCCACAATAGCTTCTAGTGTTCTGCTTGCATTTAAATCGGACTGGTAACCTAACTGTTTTAATGTCACGACGCATGTTTGCATTTTTTGACTAAGGTCAGCCAATGCCGCCGAGTCGTCGTTCTTAACTGGTGGCCCGTCAATTATTTCATCTATAAAGGCCCTAGCCACCATGTAATTCTGACCAAATTTCCTTTTTAAGATATCTTTAGCCATTATAAAGCCATCTGTGCCATTCATTATAGTACAATGCTCTATAGAGTCTCTCGCCTTACCTGTGAAAATTGGATTAAGTAATTCAAACGTATGGCGTCGTCGGTTGTCGCTTCTTCTACAACTTTCTGAAACTCTTTCATGAATATCCAATACTCCTTTGGGTTTCCGTCAAATCTCCTTATTTCTGGCTTTGGCAGTTCGAAGTATCTTTCTACATAATTCGTTGTAGGATAGGTGTCGCTTTTCATGTCTCCTCTTTCGCTAGAATTTTGGGGACATCCTTCTCGTAACAGCGTTTCCAACAAGAGCCTTTTTTCCACTTCTTGTAATTTTAGCTTCGCCAATTCTATTTCCATTTCCTTCTCACGTAGGCTTTTTTGGCAGCTTAAGACAGGACTTTCAGGCTTTTCTAACTGAGCAGATAAATCTGGCATACTATCTTCTAGATGTTGTCGTTGTTGACGCAAAAAACTTGAATAACTGTAGGATTCCCGTTGCATAACGTTAGATTCACCAGAATAACGCACCCGAAGTCAATGAATTAAAAGCTCTTTGAGTATTCGGAATATTTATTTGGAACAGTTAAATAAATATCGTATGTGGTTCTGCAACAAACAATTATTAATTTACTAGTTACTTACATTCAAGGTGATTAAGCAACAACAACAACAAATTATCACAACGATCCGTGTCCCACACACCAAGCGAATAGAATGCCAAACAAAATGGCTGACCAAACAGTCAATGTTTCGACCAATAGAAAACAACTTCTAGATTGTTCGATCATACTAACCAATAAAATGCAAGTTACAAATTATGTAGTAAACACTCAACTACTCATGAGTAGTACAACCATTACAACTAAATCCAACATCAGTAGAGGCAATACTGCATTAAACTCAAATTTAAAAGTGTCAAGTTGAATTTTTGTGCCGCCGTGCACTTCGGAAATATATCTGGATAAATGTCAGGCCTGCAAACGGAAAATCGAACAACAATTATATTACAAACGTGAAACCAGATTGCATGGTTGACGGCTGAGTATTGGGTTTTGCAAAAAGTTGGTTTCATTCAAATGTGTCGTACGTGATACATATGCTCAACTATACCAGTCATGATTTTCCTACTGAATGAATCCACTGTCAAGTTCTAGTACTTTTGAAGTTTTAATGAAAAAAAATAATAAATGATTCATAAGTTTTCTGAAAATCCCTGATGCATTTACCAGATCATTCAATAGCTTTATTATTATGCAGTACCTGTTAAGTATAAAGATTGAATATATTTCATTTTATTCAGCTTATTCATGTGAATTCTAAAGTGTTTGTGTCATTTTTGTAGATGAGTGCACGACAAACATACTACTCATCCCCAGTTAACTATCGTATTTTGGTTTTATGCAAGTTCACTTGACTTATAAACATATGCCTTGTCATCAAATTCATTGATGTTCCATTTATTCACAGCAAGAAAAGGCCCGGAAATTCTACTAAGACTGTTAATCCACAAATAATAATCACTCAAATTTATAGCATTATATACGAGGAAAAAAAATATTTAAAAAGATCTTGTTTGATCGTTGTGATGAGTGTACGTATCAAAATTTGTAACAAGTGGGCTAACATTTTATATGAAATCACAATTCACCTCCTGAATATTTAGGATTGTAGTAGCCTCAAAATCGTCCTTCACCTACACTATATACGCTGTTGCACATGCTGAATTTGCATCATCACGTTGTCAATCACATAACAATTGAAGAATAATTGTAAATATCAGGTTTTGATTACAGTAATATCGGCCAAATTCAAATATCCGCACAAATCCCAAATTATTTTATCATTCTTAGCTGTATTCGTTCATGAATATTTGATGATATAACTTAAATAAACAAATGAAATGTCTTACTACAATAAAACGAATAATACTGTGTAACTTGATCTTAGGATTTAATTAGGAAGAAAACTGATCATAGTTAATTTAATTCAATTTTCATTCATGAATAAAATCAAGCGATCGTTACAGCAATAAAATTATGTTGATTATTATAAAAGAAACATCACTATAAACGAATAACAATATGTTGGAGGTCAGACTAAGCCAAACGTGTAGAAATATGAAGTTATATTTTGCGTTTTATCAATCACAGTTGTAGTGCTTGCAAGAAAAATCAAACAAACGTGTCTACAAATAATAAATGAATAAACATTATGTTAAGTATTTAGAAGACAATCTGAAATTCAAAAAATACTAAAGTAATCTGATGGGTAAGATATTAGGATATCAAAAATTAGAGTCTTATCATGTTTGTTAATAACATAATCCTTTAATCATAAATAAGTGATGTTTTGCAGACACTGAATAATAATAGTCAATTCAGAATGATATAATCATATTATGAAATACATATTCACATATGAGTTCAAGTATGAAATTTTCTCGTTGACCTATGATATAGAAAACATAAACAATTTCATTTATCATATCAGATATAAATTTGATTTTGACATCTTGTTACATGTCAAATCAGCATCCACTTCGAAATTCAGAATCATTATGTTCACTTAAATGTAAAAAAATGTAGCAGAAGTGATTAAATGAACGAAACTGAAATCAGCACGAAAAACGTACAAATGAGATCATTTACTGCTCCAAAATATTGGCTGTTGTACCAATGATGATGGAATCACAGAAAACTGAAATGTCATGCGCAACACACAACTTCCAAATGCCAACTAGTAACCTCACCATGTACTTCAACATGTACGATGGTAGCGTTTGACTATAACTCTGTTGTTAGCCTCGATTAACATTTCATCACTTTAAATCTTCTACTTAGCATAAGAAATATTATGTCAAGTGTGAGAATGTGAATGCGCATAGCTGACATATCCCACTGCTTGAATAAATGACAGCATGAATTAGCAACTGGCTTAGAGAGCTTCATAGCGTATATTCGTTATTTAAGTCGGACAAATCCTCGATTTCATTATATATTCTTATGTCATGTTGACATGTTTTTCCAACACAGCCATAATGGCCGAGTCTTTTAAGCTTGTTTATATTGAAGTTTAAAACATACGTTTCAGTGCCATAATGTTTAACGCAAGTGCATATGACTAAACTTACATCTTATTTGTGTCAGATCAAAAATCACAATTCGTTATAATTACAAAATTGTTAGCATGTTTGCTGATCTATTCATTTTCACTAGTAATTTCTTTATTGATAAATGTTACAAACATTGATAAGTGCGTGTCGATATCATTCATGTTTTCATTATGTTATGAATTCTGTCATGTAATAAAACTATACAAAATGAAATCTAATATTGATCTATGCTAAACGATACAGAAATCAGACTAGAGATAATTTAAAATATACTCTCCCTTAAATAAAATCTTGGCACAACAAGCATGCCAGTTAACAGGTTACAGCGATTCGCCACAACCTATTACACATCGACTGTCAAAGTTTGCGAACCTATACTATAAATATCAGTCAGTTTCTGAAAGCAAATTTGCACTAGATCATTGACAAAAACAGGTTGATGGAGCGACATTTTTAGTTACTTCACTTACATCTTGTTACATGTCAAATCAGGATTCACTTAGGAATTCTATATACATTTGCTCAGTACGAAGTGAGTAAAAATTAGAAACAGTGAATGAATCAACGACAATGAAATTAGTATGAACAACCTTCAAATCAGATCATTTACTACAACCTACAGGCAGTTGTACCGATGCTGATGAAATAAAAGCAGGTCGACAACTTCCGCTAATAAATACATATTTTGATAAAATGTAGATAAAATAATAATCACAGTCTGAGTAGTGCACACTGCGTTTCGGAGGAGCTGTTATGGAACTAAACTAGGTCAGATATTCTCTTTGATCGTTTATGGCAACATTGTGGCGAACGAATAGCTATGTTTGACTTCAAGCTTATTCTGCATATCATGCTCATACTTGGAACATGATGCAGTAAAAGGCAATCACACACCGCAGCTCATCACAATTCCTGTTGTCTTCGTTTTGATGAATACATATTTATTGCCTTTTTCTCATAACATGCAAGAAATATGCACTATAAGAAATTTCATCATTCAAAGTACTGCATGATAAGTTTTATCGTTTGCGAATTTGAATAAAACAAGATTGATAGTGTGAAATTCTTCAGGACCAGTTGATTTTGTTGATTATCAACTGACTTACATGGTGATCATATTCGGTTGTTTCTGCGTTCAAAACTTTAGGCAAATGAATGGAGTGACAGGTCGAAGTAGGCAAGCAGATATTACAACATGAAACCTTATTTGTACAGGTAACTCACATCACTAACAGTATTTTCGTTTTAAAGTTGTGTAGTTCAATGAGATGTTTATAAGGGTACTTTGTTCATGAGTTTTGGTAAGGTGATTTTTTTCAAATTTGCAATGTGCTCAATCGAGTCATTGGAATTCAGGTTATGATCAACCTTCTTATATCAAATATAACGCTACATCTACGTTTAGATACTTGAATGATTATTCAGTACTGTTCAGGTACTCAGATACCAATAGAGATAACAGCTCAGAAAAAAATCTAGAATACATGCTGTACATGTTATTGAGTGGTAATATAGACGCTGACGTTGAAGTGTGACACACAAGTGTATGTATGGTAAACATTGTCTTTCAAACTGTTAAACAGAGTCACCAGAAGTTGCGAATTTTTCTTTATTTTTTGTATGAGTTAAACCTATACGATTTTGGATTGATGCGAAAAGTCACCAAATTTTCAACTAAATTACCTACGAAACAAAATTACAAACTGTTGGACAACATTTCGTATTCTGATCCACATAATGCATTCAGAAAGATTACTGTACATATGACACATCATTCCACTAGATAAATAAATGTGAAGGATTCGTAAAATCTTAAGGATTGATCAAAAATCCTATTCTCGCGTTACCATTGCATAATTTGCTTAGGATTTACGTTATAAGAACAGCTATTTGCTGTGGTAATGATTTTACTAGTAGGTAAAATATGAATGTAAACGAAGAAGCTCAGTGAGGTTAATTACATATTTTTGTATTACGAGTTCAGTAGGAAGTTTAATGAGTTTACAATGAACCCTTATTTTCGTTTTATAGGTAGCTTATTAAACACGTTCTTTATAACATACATTTAGCGATACAAGTTTCTAGTGCGTGAACTCAAAATGCATGGTTAATTGAGTTATGGTGTTTGACTTAGACAACTGAGTGACTTTTATTATTCGCTTAACACAAACAGATGTAATTTGAACCGATTACTAACTGGGTCACAAGTGAACAGGTGTTGAAAAAATTTCGACATCCGGCATCTGAGATGGTTTAAAAGAGTAGATAAAACAAACTTTCTTGATCATAACATATCTTACATAGTCTGTCAGAAAACAATGACACTTTATTGAGTCGTAAAGTATTCTTAGTAAATTAACCGGAGCAATCAGTCAGAAAATCACAGATCGTACAATTTTGTTTTAGGCAGAGTATATGTTACCAAAGCAACGAACTGCTCCTTTAGATCCAT